ACGTACGTCTAGTACGTTCGCCGTTACCACGTACTACTATTATATATATATATATATATATATATATATATATATATATAAGGGTCCCAAGGTCAATGTAGTGACTACCGCAAAAGTCACTGAATGGGTCTCCCTGTAGATTTTCTAAATATGAGGCATGGGATGGAGGACGTTGTAGACGCCCGGGACGGACGAATCCTTCTACATGTGTGATGTAAGTGACTCTGCGTGAACTTGAATTGGTGGAGCTAGTGGAGATGTAGCGTAGGGATACGAGAGCTTGTTTTACTTCTGCCCATGTCTGTCCCAGAGCGACAAGCCTTTGTTCAAGGTAGAGGTCGCGGGAATAATTTTGCTTTATTTAGAGAGGAATATGGAGGAGGGATATAGAACCTAGTAAGGAAAACAACATAGATTGACCAAATGGGGTCTTATGTGACCAATCCAACTTGCATCTCAGTAGAACATGGTGTTCAACGTAAGTTAACAAGGTAACAATATCATATCCATGGATCGTTCCTCAAGGTGGAAATTATGCATATCACCCTCTTCCCCAAATATCTTGTTCTCATGAGAGCCATTGATTAAAGCAGTATCAAATGGCTTCTATATGAGGAAGCTAAAGGCTCTATGTTTCATTAGTGTCAATTGAAAGTGATTCAACAACGATCTTCTCTGACTATTTTGCTAGCCATCATCGATCTTCTTTCAGTTACAACTGCTTCTAAGGTTTTGTTGATCTGAACTGTGTCTAGGTCTAGACCCTCATAGTGGACTCAGAGATTCAATTCAGGGCACAACGACACGTTGTGCCCTGACTTGAATCTCAGTAGATCAACAAAACCTTAGAAGCAGCTGTAAGTGAAAGAAGATCGATGATGGCTAGCAAAATAGTCGGAGAAGCTCGTTGTTGAATCACTTTCAATTGACACTAATGAACAATAGAGCCTTTAGCTTCCTCATATAGAAGCCATTTGATATTGCTGTAATCAATGGCTCTCATGAGAGCAAGATATTTGGAGAAGAGGGTGATGCTCATAATTTCCACCTTGAAGAATGGTCTATGGATATGATATTGTTACCTTGTTAACTTACTTTGAACACCATGTTCTACTGAGATGCAAGTTGGATTGGTCACATAAGACCCCATTTGGTCAATCTATGTTGTAAGATGCTTGGTTTTCTTACTAGCTTCTATATCCCTCCTCTATATTGCTCTCTGAATAAAGCGAAATTATTCCCGCCTGGAAGACCTCTACCTTGAACAAAGACTTGTCGCTTTGGGATAGACATGGGCGGAAGTTAAACAAGCTCTCATATTCCCACGCTACATCTCCACTAGGTCCACCTTTCCAAGTTCATGCGGAGTCACTTACGTCACACATGTAGAAGGATCGGTCTGTCCCGAGCATCTACAACATCCTCCATCCCACGCCTCATATTAAGAAAATCTATAGGGAGACCCATTCGATGACTTTCGCGGTCATCACTGCATTGACTTGGATATGAACTACACTTCAGATCAAGTCTTACCGAAATTGGATTTCCTTTTCGTGGCATATGGCGCTCACATGGTTTAAGGAACTAAAACTTTGTGTTTTCACCAGTCACCATATCGAAATCTTCTTTCATAATCTAAAGTCATTTTCAGTAGATTTTAGCATGTTCATGGCTTCATTGTATGTCCTATTGGTCCTTTTTCAAGTTGATGGCCGTAACACTTCAACCTCAATGCCCTTTATTGCCATTTTGGACTTCTAGCTATTAATATTCTTCTCTAACTCAATGGCTTTGGAAGCCTTTGCCAGTCTTGGTACATTCCACTCTTTTGATGTAACATTACTTCCGTGGTGCATAGTTCTCCAATGGGTGGCATATCCATGTTAGATGCTTTGAATACATACGTAGAATTACAAACAAAGAAAAAGCGAATGTTGATGCATATGAACACCTTATCATTTCTTTCAATTTGAGTGGCATACCAATTAGCTGCTCTGATATGTACAAGGAAAAAGTTTATATAAGGGTGATGCCCTGAACACTCAAATTTAGGCGCACCTTAAGAATCCACTAGAAGAGGTTGTTTCAATGCCCAAAAATCCTCACGTCGATCATCTCGACCTCAAGATGTATGAACATGAGAAAAAAAGGATTTTAAGTCTTGGAAATAGTTCACCTTGTAATGCATTTTTTTGATTGTTAATTTTCAAGATTATGAAATGTTTATAGATCTGCTCGATCTACACTATTTGAATAATTAAATTTTATACTTAGATATGAAAATAAATTCTCAAGCCATCACTAAAATAACATCTTTTGGCACTATTTCAGGTTGCGCCTTACTTTGATTGTTTAGGGCCTCAGCCTTATGCAAACTACACCCAATGTACAATGATGAGAATCCACTCTTTTTATTTGTAAGAGAAAGTAACTCCTTATATTAAAATTCAAACTTCTACCGTTATAGGCCAAAACGGGAAAGAAAAGGTACATGAAAGAACCCAGAAAACACCTTTACAACTGTGGGTGGAAAATTTAAAAATTTGGTTGGGGAAGCCCCCTCTTTTGCAAGGGTATCCATTTTTGCATTGGCCTCTCGCCATGTGATGGAAACATATTTGTAGGAAGCTGGCAAGCCGCTAAGCTCAATGACTTCTTCCAAAACCTGCTTCAAACTCCAGGGCAAAGTGGACATCCTGTTTGTCCAATTCATAACATTCTTGGAGTCTCTCTCAACTGCCAATGAGGAGCCCCATGACTGATCAAACAGCTTGACCTGCAAGGAGGGACTTCGCATTTGTTGCAGTCCATGTTGCATTGCTAGATGGCCCTAAAAAAAAAAAAGAATGTGGCAGTTATGCTATTTCTTATGACATTGCCAATACCTGCCCCTCCCAAATTGCCATAGGACCATTCATCGAAGATATTTCCTGGTTAGTGGTGCAATACGATACACAGATCTTGGAATTTACATGGGAGTGGTTTTAGAGATAGTATACCAGTTTGGTAGGAAGTACGAGTTTGAGTAAAACTTGAACTCCTTTCCAAATCTTGCCCAGTTAGTACAATGTATATCATCAAAATCCACTAATTTTAGATGCTTTAAGGACCTTCACTTCCACTACTTATTCCACTTCTACTAAAAATTCATCATTGATAATCTGCATGTCTCCCACTAATGTTTTGCCGTTCAGGTTTGCATCATTATCAGCACTTTGGTTTCTTCTTAATTCGAATGATAAGGGCAATGCGTATGTTTGATTTTTTCATTTCTGAACTCATTCACTTTTTCTTTCTTTTAAGAAGAGTCATGAAATGGTTCTCCTTCCTTTTACTGTTGAAGTTATATTTCCTTGCAAGAATTATTTGAGATATTTGATGTGGAAGACTAGAACTGTTTTTTTATTTTTTGTTTTTAATCTTTTTTTTAATCTTTTGAGATTATTTCATCTTATTGACACTACCTGTTTGTTTCAAACCAATGTTGAGAGACATGTACTCAGGTTGTGACTTGCGGGGTACCGTGTAAGAGTCAGGTATGACAGATTCGGCCATGTCTGTTAGAGTGTCGGCCGAGTCCAAACAAGAAAAATAATGAAATATTGGAAACCCCAGACTTGAACGGTGTGGTTCCAGACTTAGCAGCTTGCTGAGTAACCTAGGCAAGTCCGAGTTGGAGTCACCAAGTTTTCTTACACTTATTAGTTTCTACTATTCTCTATTGAACTGGCCATATAACACCGTTTGCAATTCTGTGCAGTGTATACCAATTCCTTGGTGTCCCTATTGTTATCTATGGCTATGCATTTCTCTTTTGCATCAAGATATTTTTGGTTGAGATACTGAAGGTATATGCCATTTGAACTGGTTTGTTGAAGGTCAAGGATGTAAGTTATCGACCTCCTGGGACCCAGCACAATCTTTTAAATGAAGTTTGCCTCTCTCTGCCAGAGAAAAGGTGATTAAGAAAATGCCTGATTTTCTAATATTAGTATTTGCCCTATAGGGGGTTTATTACCTGCATTTCACTTTTTACAACTATTTCTTGTTCTAAAAGCTTAAATATCCTGTGGGAGATCATAACCCTTAGTTCCAGTACAAGGCAAATTCTCTCATATAAATTGATGCTCAGCTTCATTCGCTCGACTTGAAAAGTGGCTCAATTTAAAGTCCTTTAGCTTTTGCTGAGGCTCAGATACAATTCAAGGATATATCAACAAGTTGTATATCCTCAGACATGTCAATTTCGCTGCTGTCATTACTGTGAAACTAATTTTCCCATTGTTTTTAACAGGGATTGCTTACATCTGATCAACCACTTTTAGAATTAATTTATGTTTTCTTTTCTGACTCATATCGCAAAATTCTCAGATCGACATTGTGATCATAAAAAATATATGAATTTATATCAGATCTGCAACTCTTTTCTTTGAACTCTGACATACACATGAAATTTGAGGAAACGATGTTAGGTCTTACTCAATACTCATCCAGTTTCACCATATTGGGTCTTACACTTGCTGTTCATCGGGTTTTTCTTGGTTAATGCTTGATACTCAACCAGTCGTGCAAGCTCTGTTGAGAATCTGCTTTATACTTGGATATGAACAATGGCCAAACTGTGACTCATAGTTGTTGGAAGCAGGAGAGAGTGAGCGGTAGTGGGTGTTGGAGTGAGGGGATGTCACATGCCAGAACCTCCCTAGCTCAGGAGCATATCCTTACAATAATTTAATTAATAAAATAGAAATATTAGGAAAATTAGGTATTTTATTAAAAATAAAAAAACTCAACAATCCCATAAAATACAGTTAAAGGGGCAATAGAAAATAATTATTTATTGATTTAAGTTTTATTTAACTAGTAAATAATATTTTTATGCTCCTTTGAGATGTAGTTTGTGTAACAATAACACCAGAAAATATAATGATGAGGAATATCAGGACAATTGACAATAATACAAGGGAGCTAATCTTTTAATAAATTAAAATTTGTTTTATTTATAATTTGCCACTTTAGAACCGCCAAAAGCATATCGAGCTCCTTTATTTATAACTTTACACTTTACAGCATCCAAAAGCATTAGTTGGGTATATGGTATGGTCGCAATTAGGTTCCAAATGGACAGTCTTTTTAGCCTCTTGTTGCCCCTTCGAACAACTAGGAGCTATCTTAAAATGTGGGGATTGAGATTCCAAAATTTAAAAATCGCGATCCCATGGAGATTCACTAGAGCAATATCGTGGTGCTTGATTAATACCTAGGTTGGGAGATCCGGTAACTATGTTTTGACCTAAGACATGCAAATTAAGTAGAATTTTATGATTTGAATATTTTCTATGCACTGAAACTTGATTGCCTAGAAAATTTTCTTCAAACATCCTAGAGATACCATGTAGTCACCTGATTAACAGATACGAAAACGTATTCTCATGACTAGAAAACGAAGGAATAGACTTTATGGGCTGCTTACATAAATATGAAGTGTCTGAAATATGGGTCATGGATGTCTACAACTGATAACTAAAGAATAATGAGATTATGGCTGAGCAAAGTATGATCCAAAACAATAGACAGACATAATATACAAACTATTGCACAGCTCTCTTCATCGTTGTCACAAATTGTTTAATGAAAACTTCAGGTGCTCTCCTGAAATAAAAGTGGTTTAGTGAGTGGTATGCTCATGGTTACTTTCTATTGCAGCTTGGGCTTGATCTATGGAAGGAGTGGAAGTGGAAAAACTACACTCTTGCAGGTTGCTTTCTCCATGCATGCTTGTTTGTGTTTGTATGTGTGTGCGAAATGATGCAATAGACACTGATCATACTTCTTTTGGTTTTATATTCCCAGATCCTTGCTGGATTGTCTAAGCCCACATCTGGGTTCATTTGTATTCAGAAATATGGGAATGATGGGCAGCCAAACCAACCCCCTGAAACATTATCATCAGAAAAGGTTGGCATTGTTTTCCAGTTCCCTGAGAGGTACAAATATTCAAACTAATATTCTATTGTTTCAGCTATCTACGATTTGTTCATTTTTGTGTTTTCTGCTGAGCTTGGATTTCGGTGCTGTATCACTGGCACGATAATTATCTGCCATTGACTAACATGGGAAACTCACCTATATAATATTTGGAAAATATGGAACCTCATATATATCAGTGCGTACAACTTAACTGTCAATTTGTTTTTTGGAAAATATGGAATGCTGTTCTTTATCACATGGTTAGGTGTGTTTAAGATTGACTGAAGGTCTCAGTGGAAAATAATTCTAAACTTGAGACAATCTTATCCAATCACAATGAATTGGATTCCCTTCATAAATTCTAAGAGGTACTTTTAGAACCAGTTTCCTTCATGCTATAACCAAAGACACAAGGATGGGACTGGATGGGCTTGTCTGACATGTTGGACTGGAAATCCATCGTATCTTTTCCCACTTTTGAATTGTCGAAACAAGGACTCTATGCGAGAGTAGAAGCTCCAAAAGGGGAATTAGGGATTTTTCTAATAGGAGATAATAGTGTTTTTCCCTGGAGATGGAAAATTCGTCCACCTGGTCTTATCAATTTGCAAATTCTTCCTCAGCTAGTTAAAAGAATGAAATTGGCTGATATCATGACGACACTAGGTAGTATGGATATCATTATGGGAGGAGCTGATCGTTGAAATGATAATTGATACAATAGAATTGAAGGAACACTAGATTAATACTGATTTCCCCTATCTGTTTTGGTTTTTCTACTATTAAATATTATCCCTACTCCCAACATATGGAATAATATGGTGGTCATTCATCCAAAGTTCAAATTAGACTTGCTAACTGATGACAAAAGAAATGAGTGCTTTCAGATGAATATCCGGAGACATAGTCTCAAGAATAAACAAAGTTTGTTGTTTTGGGTATTGTTCTTGCTGCCCCTTGTTGTACGAGGGATAATTCCTCATTTGTTGAAGAAGAAGAAAAATTCAGCAAGAAAGAAATTGGGACTTTTAATAGTTTATTTATTCAATGTTTCCACATACAAACTAAAGAACCCATTTATCATTAAATGTCATGAAATTATGGTAGTGGTGATCCTTTCCCAACTTGTGCGATTCAGTGGCTTAAAAAAGAATATTTGTATACCATTCCTCTATAGAAAGCAAACTTATTCTGAGATTACAATGATAAATTTCCCCCCATGAGTGTACTGAACTCTAATTTTCTTTGGCAGTGTCTCATTACATATGGCTGATGGTGAGAAAAATAACTATATTTGCCTCCACTACTTTCCGAAGCAGTTGGGTGAAATGATGATCTTTCTCCACCTATTTCACGAACTGATATTTCACAATAACATGAGAAACCAGTCACTTTTTTAACCCTTATATGAGATGTGTTAGTTATGTATTGTCTATGCCGTGATTTGATAACATGGTTTTTCTTAATTTGCATGTGGCAGCAGTTTAATACACAAATCTGTAAGAACCCCCAATAATTTGCAACTTGCAGTTTTAATATCAACATATTTCCATCGATAGATGAGATCCAAGAACATCACTCCTCCCACGTTGGGCCCTAAAAATCAAATTAATTCTAAGCAAGACTTTTGAAGCATGTTCATGCCTCTTTACTTGCCATCTTTTGTTCTTTTACGAAGAATAAGGGTCATTTGGTCTGGTTCTTGCAATTCCTATTGCTTTCATATAGACCTATGTAATAGGGTTGTGTCGATATCTAGAATTGGGAAGTATTGAGCTAAGAGTAACCTACATTACTGACATATTTTTTGCCGAGTTATCAAGTCACATGAAAGGTTATTAGAACAGGACTGGACCGGCCAGTCCAGACTGGGGACCAGCCAACTTGTAACTAGTCCAGTCCGGTTTGCCCCCCTGGACTAGGATGTTAGTTCAGTGGTTCGAGACTGAACCTGCTGGTCCCAATAGCCCTGTAGATATACTTTTCTGCCACTTTTTTACTTTTTATTCATTTAACCACATTTTTAGGTGGTTTTTTTGGTCTTTCTACATTTCGCTAGGGTGTTTGGTCTTTCGGCTTGGAAGGATGGGTTTTAGGGTTTTAAAAACCTATTTCTTAGAGAGAGAGATAATTTGGCAAATTTTCTTTCCCCTCTCAACCCAAAAACTCTCTAATCCTAGGCCTATTTTTCCGGCCACTTTCGTTGAAGATTCTGGCATATATAAACCCACCCATTTGAAGTCCCAAATAAGTACATTAAACCATTTTCTATTTTTTTTTTTTTTTTAATGATTAGAAAATGATAGAACAATTTTTTTGGTTTTTTAGGGTTTTTCTATAAACGATTTTTTCTTTTCAAATCGATGCAACATAGTGTTTCTTTTGTTGATTTTAATGGTTGTTTTGTCATTATTAGGTTCGTTATTGTTTATTTTTGCTTTTTAGAAAGCCTTATATGCATGCTTTAAAAATAAATATTAGGTTTGGTTTTTTATTTTCCTTTTCGTTTTTTTTTGTTCAAATTATCCTTGATATATTGTACTTTATTTTCGGTTTTTGGCTATTTTTTTGTTTAATACTTTAATGAAGCTATAGAGTATAGAAAATATTTATCCTTGTAGTTTTGTACCTTTCCATGGGTGGAGATTTGGAGATGTGGAGTTTATGAACTTGGGGAGTTTGACTTTGTTTCATATATATTTTTTTTTCCCCATGTTATATTTTTATTTTTGTTCCTTCCAATTTTTTTTGTTTTTTGAAATCTTATATTTTCCTGGTCTTTTCATATTTTTTTATGTCTTCATTCTTTCATTTTTTTTAAATTGTGTGACAGGTCCGACTAGTGAACCATTCCGAATTGGCCAGTCTGACTGGACCGTTGCCCTCACCTAGTCAGCCACCTGTCCTGTTCTGATAACACTGGTTATATGATTTATGCTGATATATTTACTCAAAAGTATTTGTCAAGATCCTAGAGATAAATTGTGATAGCTTCAGCTGTTCCTTTTGCTTGCTGAATTGCTATTTGGCACGACTTATAACAGGTACTTCTTAACTGATACCGTGCTTGAAGCAGTCACGTTTGGTTGGCCAAAGCACAGTGGGGGCTTACCTCTGAGACAACAACTTGCTCTAAGGCTTGAAAGTGCTTTTTATTCGGTATGGAGCTCTTTCACAAAATGTGTAGTTGTAGCTGTTCCATGTTGCAAATTTCTTTTATGCCATTAATTTACTTTGATTATGCATTCTAGGATGTGTGGTATTACCTGATTACGATGCATGCTTATTTGAATTATTCCCATCCTTTATGTAATTGTGAAACTCAGTATAGCTGAACTCTTATGCACTTTCAACACCTAGATATGTTTAGTCCTTTTTATCCACCCCTCTCATAGTTTCATGAGTATTAAATTCTTTATTTGTTCTGTACAGGCACTAATATAATTCACATGATAGGTTGGATTGATTGGGATTTCCATGGAAAAAGATCCACAATCTCTGAGTGGTGGTTTCAAACGGCGTCTTGCACTCGCAGTTCAATTAGTATGATTATATTTTGAATATTATCAAAAGGCTTTCAGCTTACATTGTTTAATGATTTGGGATGCTAATTTTGGTATTTCTCCATATGTAGATTTTGTAAATATGATATGTATTTTATGCACTGTCAGGTACGCATGCCAGATTTATTGCTGCTGGATGAGCCCCTTGCTGGTCTTGGTAATTAAGATGCATCCATGCTTTTTGTTTCTGCCTTTCAGTATTACAAAGCTTTTTCATAAGGACTGAATGATTGTTAAACTTCTAGTTTCATATGTACTCTAGTGAAAATATATGAAAATTAGTTGACATCATATCACACTTATCTGGTACAAGTTCTCCACACGATCATCTTCTGCATGAGATGAAAGACTATAACATACCAAGTGACCAACTTACCAATAGAAAAAGCATATCAAATGAAACATATAACCCAACTGAATGCACTAGTCTGCATACTCGACCTCATTTTCATTCCTCACTCTTGTACTAGCTTGCTTTTGTGGATGAGATTTAATTTAATACAAGCTTACACATTCTGGCGTATATATTTTCTTCTGTTGGTTTTGGTTCTAACTTCTCAAGGATGGAATTTTTGCCAGGGTTCCTTCTTTAGACTGGGCTATGTAGTTAATTCTTACCATAAATAGTGATTGGACACTAGTGCATATGTGAGGACCTCCCTTACTGTTTATCTGCGCATGGCGTCCAAGCTAATTTATAGCTTGATGTTTCTGAGCTCGTATAGTTGGTTCTTAGTTCTTATTGTCCTCCCTATCTATATGCGTGTGGCCTTTTTTTCTTTTTTTTTGCTTGTGCTTTGATTAAGTACTCCAATTTTGTTGGAAGCTTTTTTCTAAAAGTTTGTGTTGTGTGCAGTTTGGAACTGCGCTTGGTAGTAGGTAAGTTCACTTTTATGTGGGTTTCCGAGTACGATTAGATTCATACATGATGGGAGGGAGGTTTCCAAGTAGGAGAAACATAAGCGTTTAAGTACTATCTAGATGAAGTTTCCACCTCGAGAAGAAATATAGTTGGCTGGAGAGAGCAAAAATAAGTAATAGGGGGAATAGAAATATGTACCTTTTAGATACAAGTCTCCTTTCTTAACCATCCAACCATTGAACCAAAAGCCTATCTCACCGCAAATTCTTTTGGCATTTTATAAATGTTGCATGTAGTGCCATAAACGTTCCTCCACGAGCTGTTTCTATTTAGATGATAAACTTCCCACCAATAGAATTAATCTATTAAATTATCCACATTTAATGTTTTATTAAAATATAAAGAAATACATAAAGGGGGTGTTACAGTAAAGAAAGCACTAAGTAACTAGTTCCTTATATAGAAAAACTATGTTCCTTATATAGAAAATTTTAAAAAGAATTTAATGCTTTGCGCATGTTTCTGGCTCTTCTAGTTATGAGACTTTAATATTTATTGTAACCATTATCAGTTGAAAAGAAAAAGGAAAAAGAAACATAGTTTGTGGGTCCATCTGCATGTTTTGCTTGTGTCCTAGCTTAAGATGCCTTGATCCTATACACTGTATTATGTTATGTAAAGCATGTTAAGCAGCATAGTCCCGTCTCTTTTTACACACCTTTGAATCAATCGTAGTGATTATTCACCATTATTAGTTGTGCATACGGATATTTCAGTCAAATCTCATAGGCTCACAGCAGGCTTGCTGTGGTCCACTTATAGTATCATGTCTACATCACAAATGGCCTTCATAAAATTAATTACCAACTTAGTGCTTCACTTCATTTTATTTTATTAAGGAAACTTCTCAGGCTTGCATGTTCATTTGAGGTTCTTATGATTTTGATCCTCGTCTAGTGGGTGGTGATCCTAAGGGACAGTCTTCCAGTGCATAGGTTTCTCATCATTCATTAAGGGCCTGTTTGGATGAAAATTATTATACTTTGTACCATTGATGTGTGACTTTTATCTAAAATTAGTATACTTTGTAATTTGTATAATATAGTTTTGTTAGTGTTTGTCAGGTACCATTATATATACAGTAGTCTATTTGGGGACTGTTTTTTATACTTTGTTTGGATGAGTTCATCTTGACACTAACTTGCTATTTTCTCTCATTTTATTATTAATACCATAATTATCGGAATCTTCTAAGGAGGGGGCGCTTCCGCTCCGGAAGCTCGATCCCGCGCTCCAAGATATGGGATCTCGATTCCGGGCGATTCCTTGATATTTAGGATCTCAATTCGGAAAATTGGGGAACTCAGTCCCATCGAATGGGATCCAGATCCCTTTGCCAAAGATCATGGTTTTATGAGTAAGCGGAACCGCGATTGCACCTACGTAGAATCGAGTATCCTCTAATTTGGGAGTGAGTTTCACCGACAAATTTTTTTATTCATATACAATTGAGTGTGGACCTCCAAATTTTATGACCTAGAAACTTTTTGAACTCCATGATTTCTTACATATTATACAATTCACAACTTTACACACCTTGTGAATCGTGATTTATGTATAATTTTAAAGAAAGGCAATAAAAGAGAGGACGAGGAGAGAAGCAAGGAGATGGAAGGAGATATAAAACAGTTGCATTATGGTTCAATTGAAGAATGTCAATATACTCAACTTCCTTGGAGGTAGTTCACTAGGTCTTGTCTACCTTCTGAAGGACTTCTATCGCTTGAGTGTTTGTCAACCAAATCGAGCTACACATGAGTTTGCCTTATGGATGATGGAATAACATGTATGCGTGGAAATGTGAAGTCTCTTTCATGTATATGTCTTTGAACCCTTAGCAATATTTGACAGAGGAGAGCGATTGAGAATTAATATGGCATTGTCTTTCCTCTTTCTTCTTTGCAAAGGAGAACTTAAATATTGTGGCATTTCCTTTTTGAAATAATCTATCACAACAATCTTATATTAATTGTCAATTGATTTTTGAGTGGGAGTCGCTCGATCCAAGTGATTTGTGCCAAAAATGAGGACGTGTGCGTAGTAGGCAGATCAATGTAGGTAGGTGTGCAATTTTTGTAATGGACCCACATGATTAATTTTTTATAGTGATAATTATTTTTGTCACCCTCCATTACAATTGTTAACATGGGATTGAGGACTTAGGTATTGCATCACCGTATTGGATTTCTGTTATTGCTATGTGTAAGATCATACTCTAATGACAACAAAATGTTAAACAGAATTTCAATGAGGTGAATTTTGTTCAAATTGATATTAGGTTTGTGAATTTGAAAAAAGTTAATAATATCGTTCAATGGAATTCGCTCCCTAGTTACAATATAGTTGATAAGTGAACTTCGGGAACCTCGATCCATATCGTGGAGGAAAGTGATCCCATTTAGTAAAGAATTCACTCCTATGAAGATATGGAATGCGCTCCCTAAAAGTCAGGGATCTCGATCCCTTGTCCTGACCATGTACGGACCTCGTTTCTCCAACCACGGATCTTCGAGCCTACCTCGCTCCATGCTCCCACTCTCGCTCCCGATCCCAGAGCTCTTGTTGCTCCCGTTCCTGGTAACTATGATTAATACAATTCATTAATTTGCTTTACTTCTCAAAGAAAGCATTGATAAAATATTTAATTTTAATAAATTTTTTTTGCTTTGCTTTCTTTTTATTATATAAATTTCATGGTCTCAAGAATTTGATTATAGTGTTCTTTTTGAAATTCATAAACTCTCTCTCTCTCTCTCTCTCATTCATTCTTGGGGCCTCAAGGATCACATATGGAAATACAACAGACAGTAGATCATAGAGAATAGGATTGTTGAGATGCCATCCCTCCAGATACCATGTAGAACATCAATGTCTTTTTTGATGCTTTTCACTTATTAACTCTATCATAGCAGACATTCTATGGAGAATCACTAATGGATAGTTGCCGCCAATTGGATTTTTGGAGATTGTGCAACTGTAGAGAAAGATGATCAACAGGAGCCATAGCCATGATGTATGTGTTGGTGTATTCTGAGGAATAGCGAGGGCCCTGCATGACTGGACATGCCTGAGATAAGGGATTGTCTGATGGCTCTGTAAAACTGAATTTTCAGCCAATAGTAAGATGGTGCACACTTTGTCCTTAATGACTTTCCTAGGCTGGGTAAGGAGCGCTGTTCTTCAGGTCTTTGAACATGGAAAGTCGGTCCCCTCTTGCCAAAGGGAGAATAGTCTTTTGATGTTTAAGTGTTTGCCACATCCTAAGAGAGGCCTTGGGTAAGCCCTAGAGATCTTTATTGAAAAGAAGAAACGTGCAAACCTTTGGTGAAGCTCTGGATCTAATAATTGAGATCCACAAGACACCCCTTTTTCCTTGTGTTAAATTTCATTTGACTTGTTCCACCAGTAGTTGTGGATAAATTCAGACCAACCACCACCTTAGAGATGTTAGGTATTATGTGTTTGGTTTTTTATCTCCTTGTACTTTTTTGACAGGCAAAATCATTTCGATGGTGTTGATGTGTTGGAGCTCGTCAATAGCTTTGGAACTAGTGGTTATTCATTCAAATTGGAGTTACGAGTATAAGGTTGTGGCCTTAGAGGTTGGAGTCCTCAGTATGGCTTAGATTGTGCACTACTCATAAATAACTCTGCTCCCACTGGAGCGCAGTGTGCCGAGAAGCCGAGGAAACAAACCCCATATTTTCATACACTGCCCCATAGCCCACTCCCTATGGGATTCCTTACTCTAACTCTTCCAATGGCAATTGGTGACCCCCAGTAACATTCCCCTCCTCGTCTCCTTCCCCCACCCCTATCCCTGGCCCTCTTCACGCATTCTACTGTGGAAGGCTTCTATGGCTGCCCTCCTATGAACGCAATAATCAAATATTTCGTGGACAGTATTTCACCACTGTCGCTCTGTTCGATAGGATCAAAGGCGCGGTAATCTTCTGGCTACTAACCATTAGCTGTTCAAAGGATTTCCCTCTTCAGCATTCCACTGACATTGGCATGTCCTACTCTTTATGCCCCACCAAAGCATTCCCCAAGCCTCTTTGTGGAGACCTCCGGAGCCTGGCCGTGCTAAACTCAATTTCGATAGATGCTCCCTTGGCAACCCTGGCCCCACAGACATCGAAGGCCTCCTTAGAGACCACGAAGGGTCGACTTTGGCTTCCTTCTCGAAGTTCATAGGCCATTCAGACTCCCAAACTGCAGAAGCAACTGCTCTGCTTGAGGGTCTCAAACTGTTTGACAACTCCTGGGGCCAATCACTAATAGTTGAAGGGAATTCCAACAATTTCATATCCTGGGTTCTGTTTGGGCCAATTGTCCCTGGCCCCTGATCCACATTTTTGATGAAATTTCTCATGTGAGTAGAGGACTCACGATAACTTGGAGACACATATATTGCGACAGTAAGTAGCAGACTCTCTTGCCAAGGTGGGTGCTTCAAATGCTATTGGCTGACCATTTTTGTAAACTCAGTCAGACCCCCTTCCTGGGGTTTGCGTCCCCCTCTCCTCATCTCTCTTGTTCTATACCCTCTGCCTAGGGGTATTTTTGTATAGAGCTCCCTTACAGAGGATAGGCATTTTCTGCTGTTTATAACCCCTGGTTTTCTCAGGCGGTCCAACTTTGTACTTTTCATTCCTACTATCAATACAACTGTTAACTCATAAAAAAAAAGAACACTGCTCCCACTGGAGTGGTTACTGCCCAGCTGGAAACACATATAAGTGCTGTTTCCTTAACAGGTGGGTTTCCTTGGGAAGGAGCTCCCATCTCCAGCGGTGTGACTTAACACACTGTTTGGATGTCCAGATTGATGTTAGATTAGTACCCAAACAGCGATAGGGCTACTCCTGCCAGGATGAAAGCCTTTTGAGGGTAATTCACTTCCTACTGTTTATACCTTGTCCTGTAGGGACTTACATCTTCCACATCTAAGAGAGAGTATCAACCTACTATTTGGATGAACAGATAAATGCTGATTTGCCCATACTTCTACTACCACCTTTGTAGACAATTGGTGAAATCAAAGGTAGTCTCAACTCCCAACACATAAGTTCTTGAGTTCCTCCTCCTTTCAGTTCTCAAAAGAAGAATGACCTCTGTAAAAGTGGTTGGTCGAGAAGTGGTAAGAGTTTCTAGTATACCAAGAGTTAGGTAGTGCATGAAGCTAGGGAAGCCGCTTGTCTCTTCGGAGGAGCATGGAGGACCAAGTGTCTCATGCATCCAGGACTAACAAGGAAGAATAAAGGACCTCCTGGAAGTTAAAAGGTGGTGTGATGTACCCTGTTAAATGAGTGAGGAACTCAGGGCAAGGACAGTTTTATCTTGGGGGTCTGCTCCAGGAACTGTTCACCATATTTGGTTAACCACGCATAAAAAGGGAGTATGGACCTTAAGTTCAGTTAGACTCTCCCTTGAACCTCCTTTTGTGCAGGCTTACGATCCTAGAAGGATCTGGATTGTGCAATGGCACACAGTGCCAGTTTCTCACTCTAAATCTATTGTCTGTGGTACTGTTTTACAGGGTCGTAGAAAACATGGAACTTACTCGAGCTGTTTCTTAACGATGGGATATCACATTTCAGACAAATTTCAAACACTCAAAAGACTTTGCATGTAGTTTATCCACACAAGATTTCAACTCAAAACATTTTGTATTTTGTTTTTCTCAAAAAGCATTTTGTATTTTGTGAGATATTCATGAATAAGTGAGTCTGCCACTGTGTAACTGCACTTTTCAGACATCTCCTCTGATCCCGATCTCCAACCACCACCAGTATAGAGCCCTTAGGACAAACCATTGGATTTCAGATTTGCAGTCCCAAGCTTACCATCCCAACAAAAAGAGAATGAACAAAATGCAACCCAATACTGTGGAGCAGTGGATAGCTGAAGGAGAATGACATGTTGTTAGGATAACAAATGAAAAAATTACGGAAAGGATGCAGTTTTTGGACCCAGAGACTGAACTGAAACTGGGGTCCAAGAAGGTTGATCGCTATAATACTGGAACCACATTCATGAAACATAAAACACAATGAATTCCTGACCTTGTACACATCCCCATTGAAGTCCTGTGAGCATACGAGTTCTTCCCTCAACAGAGTACTTGACCAAAAGGCGAAAATAATGCAGCTTATTTTCCTTTGGTTATTTAAATGATGCAGCTCATTACAATTCCAACCTACACTAACATCCTTGAGAACTGAGAAATATGTACCATGTTCTCCCTTTGATAAATTAAATAGATAATATTACACTCTTCCATCATCAGCAGCAGCACCACGGACCAAGTCCCTTCGTATTGTCCAAACAATAATTCCTAGTAAATAGATGTGTTCAACTTTGATGGTTGATGGTTCCTATCATGGTTATCCGAAAGGGCCGTAGTAGGTGGTCTTTAGAAACAGTGAAGCAGTTATAGTATGCATGCATTAAGATTCGATGGGTAACACTATTGTGACTGTAGCTGAGGCGAAGGTCGTCCTTACTGGGCTCAAGTTGTTCAATAGGTCATGTTGCTCCTCACAGGTGGTACAGGGAGACTTCGTGAATGTGATAAATTGGGGAAAGAGGTGTTCTAATTTCCCTGGAATCTGGAGGAAGCTTTGATGAAATCTTTGAACTGAGCAGTACTCTCCAAATTATCTTCCAAGTTCCAACATACCTGGAGAGAAGCCAACGAAGTAGCAGACAGACCACCTATGTAGGGGGCATTATAACAGAATCTCAAGATCTCTCAAGATCTCCCTCCTGTGCCCGGAATTATGCAACATCCATGATCAAGGTTGATTTTTCATCTTTTCATTTTGCACATGTTTCTTCTTTTTATGTTGTACATGGTTTGGCCTATTATGTATGTATTGGCCCATTTTGTACAGAAGGCAGAAATTTTGTTACTACGACATTATTTTGATATAATACAGTAAGGGGACAACATTAAACGATATAGAATTTGAAAGAGGTTAACTAGTGGAAATCTCACAAAGACTTTGTTGTAAATAAATCTATGAGGATGCAAATAAGCAACAATAATAAATCTTTATAGTTGTTATTTTTGTTGTAATAGTGAATTATCAGTAATAATGAGTGCATACAAAAAGGGCTAAGTAAGTTTTACCAATAAGTGTCGCTTCTAGAGGGCATCGATGGTGGTTACATTGAATATGGCACTTAGGCCCATGTGCAAGATCAATCCAATTAATTGAGGTCATGGCACGTAGGCACATATGCAAGATCAATCAATTAATTGAGGTCCATTTTCTATGTTAATTAGGTCTGCATGTCCCAACAAGCACTTATCCATAGTTTTTCAGAATTTGTGAGCAAGATCAAAATTATTATTTATGGGAACAATATCATCAGTTTGTCATGTATTTTGTATGCATCTAGACTTATGTAGTATGCGTGGTTGCTTGTCTCACATGTTGAATTAGGCTTTTAAATCTTCCAAGCTTTATATGGAAAACCTTTTCTCATGGAAGATGGACATGAAGTCCTTAGTACTATTCTTCAATGTATAATTCGTTTTTTACTCTTGAGGCATGTAAATTGAATATTAGAACATAGACTAGCCATCAGTTGAAGTCTAAGAAATCCTTACCAATCTGGGAAAAAAATGTCTAAGCATGCTTGTGATCAAAAGTTTTTGCTGGACTAGCTAGTGAATTGCAACGACACTTTTGTAGGGCAATTTTGAGACCCTGAATGTAGTAATAGCTGAGAGCTTGAGAAAAATTGTGTGCTGTCTACACTGAGCCTTATGTGGTTGTGTTTCTGTGGGTCAGTCAAAGGATGCAATTTCTTTTTTCTTGTTAAGAAATTCAAACTCATGATTGCAGTTTACTTTGTTTAAATGTTTGGTCAAATATTTGGAAAATATCCTTTCTTAAATCTGGTTTCTCTTTAGAATAGAAGGAATTTTCTTTTTTTTTTGTTGTGGAGACTTGTTGCCTCTATCTTGTGTAAATAGATCCCGAATTTGTTAAAAATGTAATTCATTTGGTTTTGGTGATGTCATATTCCATGCACTAAATCAACCAAATCTTGTGGATAAGGATGCAAATTTATTTGAAACTTTGGATCCACAATTGATTTTAAGAAAGACACTGAATTTATGACTCTTCTTATGAACAGTTCGGATGTCCTTTAGATCACCTTTCTCCATGCAAGTTTTGTTTTAGTTAATTAATTGGATATTAATTTAGGTTCCTTGTGGTACTTCTTAGTTCACTTATTGGTGATTTAGTTAGTATATTGGTTACTGGTTTAGTTGCCATTTAGTGTATCCTTGTTTTACCTACTTTCTTCCACACATTTCAGATTGGAAAGCTCGGGCTGATGTTGTGGATCTGTTGAGGAGTTTGAAGAAAAATCTGACAATACTTATTGTTAGCCATGATTTAAAGTAAGCTCCCTTAAATATTTGATTCTCATTGAACCTCATTAGGTAGCTCTTATTTGCTTTATTTTCACATTTAACTACGCCCATTACATAAATTAATCTATTAAATTGTTTGTTGTCCATTCTGACTGTACCAAAGCTTGGCTAAACTAATCCTACTTGTTCATTGCTGTTATTGCTATAATATCTCAAGTCCAATGTCCTGTAATATTGTAAAGAAAAACATTCGGCTACTAAAGAGACAAATTTTGGTTCTGGTTCAGATCCGAACTGCTCAATTTGTGAAGCGGTTTTACAGAAAAAAGTTTCCTGTTTGATGTCTTTCCTTAATTTCAAGTACATACCTTCAAGAGCAGCAATCTGTTCTCAACAGTAAATAATAGCAAAAAGAGTTTATACATGAAAATAAATGAAAGTACATTTTGTGAATGACAGTTGGGAGTAGTGAGAAAAGATATGGAGACTTATAGCTTCACTAAAGGTATGGTTCTTGATAGAGCAGAATGGCGGACCAGAATTTGTGTGGTCGACCCCAAATAGTTGGAAAAAGGCTTTGATGATGATGATGACATTGCTACATGAGCTCTGTTTAACAGGACATGGCCTCGAACTCAAAGTTTAGAAGCCTTAAGTCTCCCCACTAACTGAGTTGAAGGTTAATCCATCCTATCAAAAGATGGTTCTCTTGCATAAAGTTGCATTTCAATTCGGTGTTCTATTGCTTGTGAAGCATGGTCTAAAAGCAATCTGGATGACATTCTTACTATCACAAGACCATCAAAATATAATTGGCACCATCAAATCATATGGAAGAAATGGAGAGTAACACTATTATTTCTTTTTGAGATTGTAAGCATTAACAATATTATTGCAGGTTGAAGATACGTGGATCTAATCGGCCTCTGCACTAGTTTGGCAACTTTATTATTTCGCTGTTGTAGACACCTGAAATGTGGTTGGTTCTTGTGATTGATCATGGAATTTTATCCTAGACCACCCACAGAATCCCTAGACTACGAATAGAGGCTTTCCCATACACCCTAAGGTCTCAATCTACCATATTATTCTCAGAAACCCTACAACTTTCGAAAGTTCACCCTAGTCAAACTTGGCCCAAATAACATGAAACCTATGCCATTTTCTAAGGAATTGAATAAGCCTTCCAACAGTCCAAGTTAGGATGCACTGTCCAAAAGTTAAGGCAAATTTACTGAACAAACCCAATAATTTCAGTAGTACTGGAAAGGCTTATAGTGTTCTGCATCGAGCACATCTTACCAAACCAGGCACATATTGTATCGATGTTGGATTTTGTGTTAAAATAGTACCACACTGCTTTGGGAAGTGCGTTAAAGCCTCCAGAGCCTCTCTAAGTTGGTCCATCATTTGATGTAGTTTGATCAAGAAATCTCGACCATTCATCTGGAACTCTACCGCCACACCTCAATCTATAAATACCCCTTCTTAAGGTCCAACTGGGGGAGCCACAACCCTTGTTCTTGTGTCCCAAAACTTTGGCATGAATCCTAAAGCCTTCATGCTCCCAAAATTTCCTAATTCTCAAACCACCCCAGGAACCTTATAAAATCTCAATTAGGTCATGGTTACCTCTGATTTAGACATTTCTAACCATAGGCGCCCAAATATTCTGTCTAATTTCTACCCTCAAATTGTCTGACCCTAATTCAATAGGATCTTATCTAATTCATCAAACCCATAATTACTCCCACATACTGCCCCATATAGGTCTTGTGTCTGCCATACACCAGAATAACCTTCCTCTTATACATAGATCTACCCTAGATCCACTCAATCTCAGATTCCCAGTTGAATCTCTTTATCTGATTTCAATAATCTGATAGAATCATCTTGCAGATCCATTTTGAGTCTCATGTATTGATTCAGTTTAATTCAGCCGGCACTTGCACTGGATTTGGTAACGAGGACCACAAAGATGTATGATTTTATCTTTTCCTCTTTACATTTAATTTAATGTTATTGGTTATATTTAAATTTAATCCTAAAACCTGTAATTTATATTTGAGAAATTTATGTTTTACTTTCAGTTATTATTATTCAATATTTTACTACTGAAGTATTTCACATTCACTGCCTTGGTGGTGTATGAATAAGTAGATAAATTTATTTTGCAGTCACTGCCTTGAGTTTAAACAATTTTATTTCCCTTTCTTAATCAATTTTAAAATTTATGCCTGAACAAACCTACGCGCACCCACTTGGATTTGCTTGTAAACACTATTCATTGAATTAGTGATTATAGAAGAGTATTAAAAAAACTGGTTGTATACCGCCGAGCAGTTGGCTGTGATGCCTATGTGGTGACATGAGAAAATTGATGGTGGGTGGACTATGTTTTAAAACAAATGAGGACAATGCATTTTCTAGACTTTGAACATCTAGATAAGGGTGTCACATTGCTTAAGATTCGTTCAGCAGTACTAATTTGTTTGAAAGGATGTCGAAAGTAACACGAATTCTATCCAAAATGTGGGAGAACAACCATGTGACTTCTACTAATAGACATGAAGTTCTTTGAAGTATCATCTTGTGTATGATTGATCTTTGCACATTTCTACTGGAATGTGAACCAAAATATTGGGATTCCTTTGCCACATAAAATAGACATGGTATTTCTAGAGAAGTGTGGAAAGAAATTCTTGGCCTAATTGGTCTCTTAAAGGGGGATCTCTTGTGCTCAAGCTGATAGCAAATGCATGCACTTTCTTGCATTCCTAGCCAAAGTCAAATGTAAGATTGCTTGCTGCTAGAGGGCTTTTGATACTAGATGATGGTATAATGTATTTAAGCAAATTGGTGGAATTCATTCGGTATGAATAATGAACGAAAATTCGGTCACCCAGCCGCCTGAGCGGCATGTTTTGAAATGCGAGGCAACCTGTCCTAGGAGGCTTTTGCTAGGTGCCTGCTTAGGCAGTGTAAAAGGTGGACGCCTTGGCGCCACCTTGACCTCAACCAAAAAATAGTATTAATTTATAATTATTAATTTATTCGTGAATCAAAAAATAGTATTAATTTAATTTTAATTAATATATAGAAGAATTTTACTTCTTATGCCACTTGTCGTTTTGCATGCAACAATAATTATTAATTTATTAATAATCCAAAAAATAGTATTAATTCAATGTTAATTTTTGTATGAAAGGGTTAGACTTTTTATGCCACTTGTCCAAAATGCTTTTTGCATGTAATGATAATTATTAATTTATTTTTAAACTAAAAAATAATATTAATTCGTATTATTAATTTATCAAAAATGCTTTTTGCATGTCACAGTAATTATTAATTTATTAGTAAACCAAAAAATAGTATTAATTCAATGTTAATTAATATATGGAAGGATTAGAATTTTTATGCCGGTTGTCGAAAATGCTTTTTGCATGTAACGGTAATTATTAATTTATTAGTAAACCAAAAAATAGTATCAATTCGTAATTATTAATTTATCGAAAATGTTTTTTACATGTAGCAATAATTATTAATTTATTAGTAAACAAAAAAAGTATTAATTCATAATTATTAATATATTGGTAAACCAAGAAATAATATTAATTTAGTGTTAATTAATATATGGAAGGGTTAGACTTTTTATATTGAAATGTTTTGTGCTTGTAATGGTATTTATTAATTTATTGGTAAACTAAAAAATAGTATTAACTAGTAATTATTAATTTATCAAAAATACTTTTTGCATGTGATAGGAATTATTAATTTATTGGTAAACCAAAAAATAGTATTAATTCATAATTATTAATTTATTGGTAAACCAAAAAGGAATATTAATTTCATTTTAATTAATATATGAAAGGATTAGAATTTTTATGCCACTTGTTGTTTTGCATGTAACAGTAATTATTAATTTATTAGTAAACTGAAAAATAATATTAATTTATCGAAAATGCTTTTTGCATGTGATAGTAGCTATTAATTTATTGATAAATCAAAAAATAATATTAATTCGGAATTAGTATTATATAGTATATACAATAAAATGGGGGGAGGTGTGGGGATCCAACTTTTAAAGAAAAACAACATAGGCTGCCTTTGGGTCTGGGCGCCCTCCTTAGCGCCTACGTGGCTCAGAGACCAAACCGCCTAGGTGGCTAAGAGCCAAAATCGCCTATGCCTTTTTGAACATTGGTTATGAGTATTTACCATGATTAAGTATAACCTGTCTGCATGTGCGTTGTATATCTATCAAAATTTCTATCGGTTGGGCTACTCTTACTCTTTTTCTAGAACTTCATTTCCTTTGTTTGTAAATTGGATTGCAATGCAATTAAGTTTTTTATATTATTTACTTTTTCTATTCCTAGTTCAGAGTTGGAGTATGCACCAGTGTTTTTTATATTATTGGTAAGATTTTAGGAGTTGTATAGAATAGTAATTAGAGTGCTTTGGAATATTTTGTTTTACGTAAAGGGATAAAAATGTTATTACAAAATTTGTTTTAATTAGGACTTCTATTCAATTAGAATTAGGGATTTTTGGGCTCCAAGTAAGTTGTTTTATTATAAGCGGACTATATGGAGAATTTAGAATAGAGATTTGAGTTATTATTTAGAAACATTGTTTCCTTGAATTCTTGTGAATTCTGCAGAGCCATTGAAGTTAGGCGTGTTAGTTTCCTCTTTTATTTTCCAATCTATAGATTATTGGATTTTCTTCCTCATGAAATTCTTTCCACATCAATTGGTATCAAAGCACATGATTAGAGCAAAAAGGGCAGATATCTTCAATCAAGTCTAGATTTAGCTGAATTTAGGCCATGTTTTACTGATTTCTGCCAAAAATTTGCTGATTTCAGCCTAGGGTTTACTAATTTCTTCCTAGAACTTTTTGATTCACTAGGGCTCGTTGATTTTCTTCTTGGGGTTTGTGATTTCTGTGAACCTATGGCAACAAGAAGGGGTCATGGAAGGGGAAATCTCATAGATTGCCTCGGTGATGCTAGATATGATGGAATTGAAGATCTCAAGAGGCAAGTTAAGCAGCTCCACAACAATTTGCGAGCATCACTCATGGGCAAGATGGTGATCATTTTTCCTTAGAGGATGTCGTGTACAACTCTTTTCACCGCCATACTCCGCATGAGGAGTCGAGTAAAAGGGAAAGTGATAGAAGACCTAAACGTGGTAACATCACTCTAGGGTTTTGCAGTTTGAAGGTCGCATTCCTGATTGTGAGCATAATTTGACTCACAATCAAGGGAGAGGTAATATGGCTGCTTGGAAGTGCAATTTGGTTTGTGATGTTGACGTTGGCTGTGGAGAATCTTTATTTTCATCAAATTGTTTTCAAAATCAGCAGGTTATAGGGTGGGATTTGTCACCAATTTTTGGTACATTCTCAACTGAACAACACAATCTCGTACTAGATCTGATCTATGACAAGGTTCAAGATGAAGATCTAAAGGATATCAAAGAGGTGGAGCATTCAAGAGATTTAGGGCATTGGAATCAGAGTAGCGCAACTGAAGCGTGGTCATCTCATAAACCGCAAACTGTGGCCCTAGGTTCAGGGAGTATAGAAATAACTCTCAAGAAAACCTCTAAAGGCTAAAAAGACTTTGAAGTTTCCTTACACGATTCTCAATGCGATTTCAAAGATAGCGATCATCGTCATCTAAGCCTTATCCCAATTAGTTGGGGTCGGCCACATGAATCTTGTTCCTCCATTCATAGGTTTAGGATTCATGATAAGATGTGGCAAAGTTCTACGCTGGCTGCCTATTTAACGCAATCCACCTCTTTTACCCGGGCTTGTGATGGGTTAAGGGAAAGTTTAAGGTCCTCACCCTTGTTAGACCACGAGTTCAAAGATAGCTGAATTTGTATCTATTCCTCAATATATATATATATATATATATATATATATA